CTGATATCAGTTCGACAGTCGTAGCTTACTAGCCACAAAAAATGTGTTGGTGTTCTTCATATCTTGAACGTGTTTCAAGTTCTGTTGAAGGAAAAATTGGACTGCCAATGTTTGCGCATTGAAAACACGGACACTTATAGTGACGCCTGCTTTTTGAGGTGATTAAAAAAAGCAATTAAAAACAACAGGGTATCATCAAAATTGTTTCAATCCACTTAATCTTTAATTCGTTTCCAGTTATTGTTTGACCTCGCCCAGTATTGGTCCAAATGTTTTTTTGGTTCGTTAAAGGGTGGCAAGCCAATTACCACCAAACCTTTGGTGTTAGAATTTCTTTTCAAGCGGATAGACTGGAGATAGACGCCCAGACACGAAGACGGTTGCTAATGATTCATTCAAAGATCGCTTGTTCCTTTTTTATGCTCTTNTAATGGTGTTGAGTCGATTATTTTGTTTCACTGCACATATCAGCAGAGTGTTGCCGATAATAGATACAGGGATGATAACTGAATAGCCAACAATGTTGACCACTCTTTCAGCTGTGCTCTCTACTTCAATTTCACAAGAATCGTTGACAATTACATTTGGCGCAGTCGCAGCCAGACCTGTGTTGTTCATTGTTCAAATAAGTTAAATCAAACAAGTACAAAAATAATACACTACTCGCACAAACAAACCAACACGGCAAACTGATCGAGATCTGATCAATGATGCAAAGCAAACGGGGCAACACGATTGTGTTTAAACTGAGGTAATGTGATATCAGTTCGACAGTCGTAGCTTACTACCTACAAAAAATGTGTTGGTGTTCTTCATATCTTGAACGTGTTTCAAGTTCTGTTGAAGGAAAAATTGGACTGCCAATGTTTGCGCATTGAAAACACGGACACTTATAGTGACGCCTGCTTTTTGAGGTGATTAAAAAAAGCAATTAAAAACAACAGGGTATCATCAAAATTGTTTCAATCCACTTACTCTTTAATTCGTTTCCAGTTATTGTTTGACCTCACCCAGTATTGGTCCAAAAGTTTTTTTGGTTCGTTAAAGGGTGGCAAGCCAATTACCACCAAACCTTTGGTGTTAGAATTTCTTTTCAACTGAATAGACTGGAGATAGACGCCCAGACACGAAGACGGTTGCTAATGATTCATTCAAAGATCTCTTGTTCCTTTTTTACGCTTTTGATTTAAAAAAAAAGAAGAAAATTCAAGGCTCTATATCTCTGTACACGATTGTTCGTGTTTTTCTCGATTACCGCCAATTATACTCCAGTAAGCATACACTGGTTTAGACTTTCGCGTAATTTTTCCGTGCGCACGCGTTTAAAATATTTTACGCGTAACCAAAATAGAGGCCATTTATGTCTGTAAGAACGGCTGGCGTAATCGTAAAAGCTGTGAGAGGTTCAACTTGTACCTCTACGCGACTAAAATTTACGTGCGTAAGCAAGTTAAAATTATGTGGCAGTGGAAATCGATCTTGAGTTGTTTTTCTTTTTGTTGACTCATCATCTGATGCTAAAATCCTTTTCCATTGATAGCTAATTTACTCAGTCGTTATACCAGCGGCCGGTTGTTTTTTTTAAACTTATTTTTAATTACAAATATACAATCACTGAACAGCAATGCCTTGAATAATTTACACTTACTTACTACAGGTGTAACACCTTTTGTATCTTGTTTCCTAAGAAACTTAAAGGTTACTATGAACTATGGACAAATCCGGAGTAAGATAAGAGATATAAAAAATTTGATACACAAATGAAAATTACACAGAAAACGCAAAAAGGAAAATTAGAATAAGATAGGCATTATTTCGTCTAAATACAAAACATAAAAATGGAGATTGCAAAAAGGCAACCAAATGAAGAGGGGAATCGGATATTTTCTTTTCGGTGGCTCATGGCTTGTTTAGGCCAGAGCCCCTAATGAGGATTCAAAAAAATAGTAGCATGCTTTTTAAGCGATCCGATCTTTTTGTATATATTAATTTCGATCTTTTGGCCATATAGCCCGAATTTGAAGTTTCACCGGATTTGTCTCATTTTCAGGAAATTAAGTGTCGCGAAGAGAAAAGCTGTAGCTAATAAGGTATCTTAATACTAACAAAAAAAAAAATGAAAATATAACAAGCAGATCTAACAAATCTCGTGCTTTCTTTACAGGAATTGTAAATTCATCCATATAGATAACAATAATAATAATAATAACAATAATAATAATAATAATAATAATAATAATAATAATGATAATAATAGTAATATTGAAAAAATAGAGGAGGACTATTTTTATATCAACAGTCTTTGATGTCGATGGCAAAACAGCAGATGTTCGGCGAGACACATCTAAGATATCGGACCCATATACCTCTATATGACTTTCATAAACGGCATTTTCTCCAGCTAGGGATTTTTGTTTGCCAAAAATTTGTGGATTGTTCTTGAAGTCTGAATACACTTGAATAAATCAGCTCGCTGAGTACGTTTACTTTTAAAAATCTTTAACAAGCCTAATTCAAACAATTACTAGGTTATTCCTCTGAAAGCAAATTTTCGCCAATGAAAAGCTTAAGACTACATTTCGCACAGCTTTTCTAAAGTCCCGGCTTCTTATGCAATATATAAAGGGATTAAAAGCTGAGTTGCTGAATTCTGCTAAGGCAACCCAGAACCAGTAACCGTTTATTTTCATTTTCCTACAAGAATCAGTACTGAAGAATTGCAAAAGGGATATGACTAGACTTGGAGTCCAGCAAATTAGAAATACACCCACAACTATTCCGATAGTTAAAGCTGCTTTACGGTTCTTAAGTTGCACTAAAGTCTCGTCTGGGTTTAACGTTGCTATTCGTCTGATTTGAATGCGAACCGCCTTGAATATGTGAAAATAACAAAGGGAAATGATTACGATCGGTAACATTACAGTGATGGTTGATGCGGCAATCCAGTAGAGAGGTAATTTAAATGGATCGGTTATTACCAGTCTTAAACACGCGAAAACAACAGAGAAAAACCAGATGGAAACGATGACAGCTCGGACGCGAGACCTCGTCAAGATCTCGATATAACGAATATTGGTTACTGCTACATAGCGATCCACACTAACAGCACACAAGCTGAACGTAGTCGCCACGATGGTCTGCATTGTAAGGAATTCAATTGTAGTGGAAAGCTGATTATCACTTTTCCAGACGTTCAGAAGACTCTTGGAAACCCACAAAGGATTCATAAACAAACCGACTGTGAAGTCGGCAAATCCAAGAGAAGCAATAAACGCATTTGAAATTGTTCTTAGACTTGGTACTTGGTAAATGGCTGTTAAAATGAGTGCGTTTCCAACACATGATGTTAATCCAAGAATTGTGTTGAACGTTGCTAACACTACAATTTCTGTATTTGTAAGTGCTCCAGAACAGACGTTTATAGCTGTTGAATTCATCCCTTGCCAGCTTCCACTTGGAGAAGTTAACAAAAACAGGTTTTCATGTGTTAATTGACAAACTGCAGTGCATATGGTTGAATTTAAGCAAGTACGACTAAAAGCTATTTTTCATAATTAAATAGGCAAGAGCGAAAAGCTGTCTTCCATAATTAATGCCATCGAAGCAACTTGAAGATTTATTAATTTTCGTTTTTTATTTGGACTCCAGAAGTAAATATATTTGGTTGTGTTACGAGTACATCAGCACAATTATTACGTGTAGGATTATAACAAAAAGAGGAAAATGAAATGTGCACATATTTTAGGGAGCTTTAGTTTTTGTTTTTATTATAGCCAAGAAAACAGAGATCCGTGTTCTTTCCTTCTTGTCCACCTCATAATCTTAGACAAAAAAGCGCTGCGTTGACAGTAAGTTTTCAAAATCACACCGGTTTGACACTCACCACTAGAAGATTTCAATATTGGGGTCGCTAAATGACTGCATCTCAAATAATTTGTCCAGCTGCCCGTTCTCAAAAGATATAAACCCATAATTACTCTAAACAAAGACGAGAATGTGACTAAGCGTTTGGAACTCTTTTCTCTATTAAATCTTAATAAAGCTCAGGTTACTTTCGTTGGTAGAATTAACGGTGAAGCTAGTTGATGGAGATAAAAAGAGCAAAACAAGAAAAAAAAAATAAACAAAACGAAACTGAATAACTGATGAAAAATTCGAAGCCTATGACTTGTAAATGAAGTTAAATCAAAAAACCAACCCGCTGCTATCACGAACTAATCTTCGATGGGAGTTTCAAATAATTGTGGTCACTATCTGTCTTCTCATTGGCTAAGAGACTACAGCTATTTTTGGAAATCAGCGCAACCTGCCGATTAGTTATTTGTCTCCTAGCAGAGACTAATCAGAAGGTTGAGCACGCGCACGCAATGCGACATCGCGATAGCCCGACGCAACGCTTCGAAGGTCTCGTTTTTATCAAAACGTAAGCGCGATTCATTTAATTCATCCTAGATATTTTGAGAACGGACCTCTGAAGCTAAGGTACTGTACAGCAAGTAAGGAACATGACGGATAAATAAACAACACCCTCTAAAGGAAAGTTGTTCGGAACGACTTCGCTGTTGCCAGTGTTGCCTAGTGCACAAACCTCTCGCAAAGTTGTCTATGCAAATGTTTTATGTTTGGCTTGAATTGGTGCGATATCAATAAAAAAGTCGTAAACCAGAGACTAGAGACCAGGTTAGAGCGTCTTATAAAACTAATAAGTAAAACCCAACTAGTGGTCTATTATCAATGCTGCGTTCTGATTGGTTGAGCAACCACGAGGCTATAACGTAGAGTTCTGATAGTAGCGACCCTCGTTACTTTCGGAATTA